TTATTAGTAAAGGCAGGGTTTCACCATGTTGGCCAGGCTCATCTCTAACTCCCGACCTTGTGATTCGCCCACCTCGGCCCCCCAAAGTGCTGGGATTACAGGCGAGAACCACCACGCCTGGCCACCAGGGTGTTTCTTAGAGGAAAGGCTGAGCGTGTGAACTGTGATGTTGCCTGGGACAGCGGCTGCTCTTGCTCAAGGCAGTGGTCACTGGCGAATGCCCCACAGAGCCTGATGGGAAGTGAGCGAGTCAGGACGAGGGAAAGTGGGGATGGAGCCTTCCAGCCGGTGGGTGTTCCCCGGGCGTCACCATCTCGGTGTTCAGGGCTGCTCTCATGCAGGGGCTTGTCCTGAGTGGCATTTCGCTGGCAGTGCTGTCCTGCCTGGTGTCTGGTGGGGGGCCAGGGACGGCTCTCCTGATGGGGACCCCTTCGGGCAGGAGGCAGCAGCGGGCATGTGCGTGGCAGCGGGCATGTGCGTGGCAGCGGGCAGGGCTGGGTCTGCTTCCTGGACCCGCCTGTCTGGAACAGGACAGTCCTGCCCTCGTCCCAGCCCGAAGACTCCTTGCAGGCTCCCTGTGTACGGTGACCTTAAGCCACCACTTCTCCAGTGTGTTTCGAGATGTTCCTGGACTTGGGGCTGAATTTGGTCCCCAGGTGCTTCCCTGAGAGGTGGCAGGTGGTGGGGGTCCCTGTGCTGCGGTTTGGGAGCCCCCTCCCCTGCTGACCAGCTTCACACTCGGCTCTCTGTGGGTCCTCGGTCAAGTGTGTTCTCCCTGTGCCTCTGTCGTTTCCAAGGCCCATTGGTCCTGGGTCTTCCGGGAAGCTTGCTGTCTCCCAGCATGGGGGAGATTCATGTGTGTGATTTTTAAGCTCAGAAAGTTGGGGGTTGAAAGAAATCATTGAAGTCATGGAGCTGTTTCTTCGGCCTGTCAGTCTCCATGGATGTTTTAGATGAGGTCCACATTGAAAATAACCTAACATAGGAGTTCGAGACCAGCCTGGCCAAATGGTGAAATCCAGTCTCCACTAAAAATACAAAAATTAGCTGGGCGTGCTGGCGCATACCTGTAATCCCAGCTACTCAGGAGGCTGAGGCAGGAGAATTGCTTTAACCTGGAAGGCGGAGGTTGCAGTGAGCCGAGATCACACCACTGCACTCCAACCTGGGCAACAGAGCAAGACTCCATCTCAAAAGAAAGAAAGAAAGAAAATAACCTGACATGAAATGACCAACCAATGTCTTTATCTTTGGGTCTAAAGTGTTGGAGGCCTGGAGTAGCCGCTCTTGCTGCGCTCCCTGGCGGAGGATGGCGAACTCTGGGCTCTGGGATTCCACCTGGGGAGTCTTCTGTGCCCTGACCTGCCAGTGTCCCGGAGCAGAGGTGCTTACCCTTCCTGTTTAGGTACTCTCACCAGGATCCCCTAGTGATCGAGTTGGTGTTACGGGAAGTCCAAGTAGGGAGCTCAGTTTTTTGGTAGCTCCTCAGAAGGGAATTTGGGCCATCAGATGGAGAAATGTGAGATGTACTCAGCGTGTGCAGCTGTACCCAGTTAGAGAAACTCGCCCGGGATGTCGCAACAGGGTTCCCACAGTGAGGGGGGATTCCCAGGCTTCCAGACAACAGTCTCCTGTCTAGGCACCTTCCTGGTAGGTCAGATTAACTTTCCATCTAGACCCTTTACTCCAGGTGACCCGAGCCTGGCCTCTGCCATGTGCTGGCTGGCAGAGGCCTGGGTGGGAGGGCAAGGCCCTGAAGATGGAGGTCCAGAGGCAGGTGTAGTACGGGTCACAAGGGCTGTGATGGGCCCCCAAGGCCTGCCTCTGATGGCCTTGCCTTCTGGCATCAGGCTTCTAAGCCACGGCCATCCGTGTCACCCACCGGCAACTGGCCTTTCCACACCTGCTCCTTACATAGGCCTGATAGCCTCGGGAAAGTGAAAGTTTCTTCCTTTTTAAAATTACCCTAAGACTGTGTTGGTCATCTTCCAGACACCACCATTGCTCTGGGACTCTTCCCTTCTGGGAAGACGTAACGTGGCTGAAGGGGCATCTCAAATGGAGAACATGGGGCCAGGGCAGGGGCAGAGCTGTGTGGGCTGTCGAACCTGCAGGTCCTGCTGGGGCCTCCAGAACAAACATCAGACGATGTCTCCACATGCACCGGGGCAGGCCTGCTGTCGCCGCAGGCTCCAGCCAGCTTTGGTTACTGCCAGAGGGGTCTTGGGCTCCCTGGGCATCCCACGAGCCGAAAGGCCACTGCTGCCAGGCTTTCTGCAATGGAGCCCACTGACCCTAGAGCCGTAGCCGCACCTGGCGTCTGGAGACGCTGACACAGCCCAGGTTTCCGGGTGGCAGAGGAGGTGGAGGAAGCTGGCTCCCGCTAGGTTGTCTTCCTTCAGCCAGCTTCGGAGAGCATGGGTCCTTCCATCCAGGGACCGTCCCCTCTAATTGTGTTGGACCAGGGAAGTCTCACCAGTTCTTCTGAACTTTTTTTTTTTTTAAAGAGCCAACATACCTTTCAGAAAGGGATTTTGAGTTCTGGCTCTGAGACCACAGAGGTGGAATGACACAGCCCCTTTGCTCTACCAGAGGCCGCCTTGCCAGCACACCCAGGCTCTGCCGAACCAGGAGTTGGCGCTCCCCTGGGGAGATCGGCGCAATGGGAAGAGCAGCTTGCACCGAGCTGGGCCAGGCAGGAACTGCAGCACCCGTGGCTGTGGCCATGGCCACGTGAATGATGGGAGGAGCGGGCCCAGCACGTTCACTAACATAGCAGGGTGGCAGGAGCTGGGCCACACGGGGTAGAGGTTGTCAGGGTCACTGAGGATCGGCCGGAGGGGGCCTCTGGGAGGGAGGACGTGGTCACGCAGGGAGAGGCCTCGGCAATAAAGACTGGCGGTCAGCTCACAGAGTGACCTTGTGGGCACCACACCACAGCTATGGAAAGGTGGAGGTTGTTTCTGCCTCCGCCCCCATGCATGGTGCCGGCTGTGGTGACTGGGGTAAGTCCTTTGTGCCCACGTGGGCTGTGTCCGCTGCACAGGGCCGGTCCTGTGGGTTATGCAGGAGCGCTCCCTTTGAGGACAGCGTGGAGGGGGGCTCTCAAGGTGGGCGGCTGCCTGGAGTCCCCTGCTCCTCTCCCAGGCAGGTCAGCCCGGTGCTCAGCCTCTGTTCCTCTAAGGCTCCTCATGTCCCTGAAGCTTCCGGAAGCCGCGCTCCCTCCTGCTGGGCTTTCATAGCTGGCATGCTCCCACACGTTTGGCCCATGACCCCAGCTGGCATGGAGGGCACATCAGCCACAGGCTGGACGCCAGGAGTCCCACCGTACTCTGACTGACAGTGCCACATCAGGGCTCAGGCCCTCTCCCAGTGGTCAGCAGCTTTGCTGGTTGGCGGGCCAGGTCTCCCCGGGAGTGGCCACCTGTCCTCAGGCAGGGCTGACTGCACGCCCGTCCCCCGATTGGGGGACTGTGTCGTGCCCACCCTCCTCGCATCTCACCCAGTCCCTGAGCCTCTCTGCCAGGCCGGTTTTATAGCCTGGGCAGGGGTGGGGGCCGGCTGTGACCCCCGCCCCTGGGGTCTTTGTCTCCTCAGGTGGTGCTGTGGGTCGGCCTGGGCGTCCTGGTGGTGAGCACTGTCACCACGCTGTCTGTGAGCGAGGAGGTCCCTGAGGACTTGGCAGAGGAAGCCCCCGGGGACCAGCTTGGAGAGGCCGAGGGTCTGAAGAAGGTGGAGGCAGTGCGGCTCTCAGGTACGCGGTTCTCCCGTGTGTGCCCGGCCCTGGCCCTCGGAGCCTTCTCAGTGCAAGTGCCCACTGGGCATCTCCTGGGTCTGGTCCAAAGATTGTGCTCATCTGCCCAGCGGCCTCTGTCCTGTGTGGGTGCAGCAGATGGGGTGGGGCCGCCAGCCTTGCCCGTGATGATGCTCTGTGTGTGGAGGCTGGCTGTGGCGTGGCCTGTATGCGGGGAACGTGGGACAGGAGTGGATGCCTGCCACTCGGAGGACTAGGCTTTCATTTCTGAGTGTTGCTCACGTGCCATTGATTCAGCTTTGAGGATAGAAGTTCCGAGCCAGTTCTATCCTGGACGGTGTCGGCGACCAGGCCTCAGTTTGGTTTGCCGCTTCAGGTTAGTTACTGTTAGTTTACCAGGACTGTGGGTGGAGTTACGACCGTGACCCCTCATGCAGCCGCAGCCTGCTTTGGGAGGGGCCCGCGGTGTCCTGTAACCTTGATGCCCCCATCTGTGGCAAAGTCCCGGGGGGCTACAGAGATGCACGTTTCATGAGTTTGGCTTTCCAGGGTGCAGCGCAGCTCCGTGTGCCCGGGGGGCTGCTGCATCCCTGACCCTCCCTGGCCTGGATGGGTGAATGCCACACAGGCTGGCACTGCAGCAGCAGATGGCCCCGGGCCCAGGCCTGCCAGGAGCTCTGAGCGGCCAGTGCTAGGCAGGCATGGGTGCTGGCACGTGGGTGCTGTCCACAACAACCTTCACGCTGGGGTCTTCCTCCCCTGACAGTGGCTGGGTTTACTCATCCATGCTGCCATATCCACCACATCCAGCACGCGTCTGCAGAGGCCCCTGCTCATGCGGATTCGCTGGCTGGCATCTGCATGCCATCCTGGGAGCCCCGGTGGGGGGCAGCGCCGGCTGTGTCCGGGGGTCTCAGGTGGCTGTGGAAGTGCTGGCCAGTGACTTCCCCTCAGGGCGGGGCTCCTCCACTTTTTAACAGAGGGGAGGAGAGGTCCCGTGGAAGGGAGCCCCTGGCGTCGGCTGAGCGTGTCTCAGCTGTGATGAACCTGGGGCTTGCGGTCATCTCTGTTCCGAGCTCCGCACTCCTGTGCTGGCCAAGTCCCTTCCCAGCATTGTCACCTCATACAAACTGCCCCCAGGGACACCGTCCCAGGGCCTCCCCGGAGCCGCTGTGCTTCGAGTCACTGAGGATGCCTGCTCCCGGGTGGCAAGGGCGGGTAGGGGAGCCCTGCCTTCTGGGTTTCCTGCAGCTGGCAGGGCAGTGTTTTGGGACAGCTGGGGTCACCAGAGAATGACAGTGTTCTGAAGCTCTAGGTGGCCGCCCGCTGCCTTGCGCTGGATTTGGTAATTGGGACTGGACAGAGTGCACCTGAAGAGGAGGTGGTGGTGTTGCACCCGCCTCAGCGGGCACCCCAGGGAGGACCACTTCCTTGCTGTTCGTGTGTCTGGGCTAGAGTGGGCGCTGACATGCACTGTTGGTGGGGTTGTGGTAGCCCAGGAGCTGGAGTCCAGTGTGCCGGGACCCTAGCCCTGGGCAGTGAGGGGTGTTGACCTTGTCCAGTGGTGCAGGGCCGCTGGGGAGTGGACTTCTCGGTGCCAGCCAGCAGGGGCCCCCATCCTCCAGTGCTGCGCGGCCCCCGCCTGCGGCCCGTGCAAGCAGCTGTGTCCTGTCATGAGGCTGCCTGGGCCTCGGGCTCACCTGGTGCCCTCCGAGGCCACATCTGGTTTCTATTTCTTCCATGAGGCTGTAACAAAACACATGGCCCCTCTCAGAACCACATGGTGCTTGTTTTGCTTGTCTCCAATTTTCCAGCCCCCGGCGCCCCCGTGATAGATGGGCCACCTTGCCGAGGCCGGGGTGGGGCCGAGGGGCCTGTGCTGATGTGCACTCCCTGTCGGACAGCTGAGCGGAGTTTTATTGGTCTCTGATGCTGCAGAGGCCAAAAATGGTACCTGCTGACTAGGTGAGAGCCCTGTGTGGCCCTGAGCTGTGGCTGAGTCCCACCCTTGTGCAGATGTCATGGTGGCCACGCACAGCCTGGGCCCCACATACTGCCTTGCAGGCCTTGGCGAGCATGGCTGAGTCCTTGTAGAGGCTCATGAAGACAGTTACCCATGAAAGCCAGGAGTCAGGGCACTCATGCCTGTGTGCCATAGCACCCTGAAGCTAGGGGTGGCCTCGGGTTTTGTGACATCTCCTTTCTTGGAGCTGCAGGTCCCCTGTCCTCCAGATGCCTGCAAGCCCCCCGCTTGCTGCACAGGGCGGCACTGCAGGGCCCGCGCCCTTCAGGACCCTCATCCCTGCTCCCCCAATGGGGCAGGCACAGCTGCACTTCCGCTTGGTGGGAAAATGAGGCTGGGCCTGGCTCAGAAGGGACCCAGACTGTGGTGATACGGGGGAATGAGGGTCTGCTGGGTGTTGATGGGTCATGCATGTTGGTGCAGGGGCAGAGATGGCCACAGTCCTGTGCACTCAGGCCTAAGCGGGGCGGACACACGGCCCCCACGTGTGGAGCCAGGCCACATGGCCCGACACAGGCCTCAGGCTGCAGGAGGCAGGGCCATTCAGAATCCGGCCAGGTCCTGCACGGCCCGCATGGCTATCTCAGACAGTGGGACCAGCTCTGCGTCATCTCAGGACAGCAGCAGAAACATGGCACAGAATTACAAAAGGAGGAGAGGCATGGGGGACACAGCAGAGGAGCTGTGAGAAGCCTTCTCAGGGCCAGCATGGTGGCCCACGCCTGGAATCCCAGCACTGTGGGAGGCCAAGGCAGGAGAATCACCCGAGGTCAGGAGTTTGAGACCAGCCTGTCCAACATGGTGAAACCCCATCTCTACTAAAAATAAAAAATTAGCCGGGCGTGGTGGCTGGATGCTGAGGTGGGAGGATCACTTGAATCTGGAAGTTCAGGGCCGTAGTGAGCTGAGATGGCAGCATTGTACCCCAGCCTGGGCGACAGTGGGACTGTGTCTCAAAAAAAAGAGCTTTCTTAGCAGGGCATGCAGGAGAGCTCCAGCAGGGGGCGTTGTCCCCACAGTGGGGGAGAGAAGGGAGAAGGAGGTGGCCCTCGTCTCTTGCACCATTCAGTGCCCTGCCGAAGGAGTGGGAGCCTTCCAGCTCCCCACAAGAGGCAGCAGTGTTGCCCGCTGCGGCGGAGGCAGAAGCAGCAGTGAGGAGGTTCTGCCTGCTGGAGGCTGGACCAGCATGGCTGTGTCGCCAGCCCAGACACCCGGGAACCAGGAGCCAGATGGCCTGGAATTCCCTCTCACATTCGCAAAGATGAGACCATGAGGTCATTGGTCAGCTATGTCCGGAAGACTGGGCTGGAAAATGCAGCCTTCATGAGCAATCCTCTCTCATGGCAGCACTGAGGGAAAGTGAAGAATCAGCTGTTAGAAAGTTGCGTAAAAACAGGGACCAGCTCTTCCAAGTCACGTCAGCGGCCATTGTTCTTGCCTCTGTCCAATGCGGAGCGCTGGAATCCTGACCTGTTGAGCTTGAGGCGGCGCTTGAGTTGATGAGGAACTCCGTCAGCAGGGTGCCGGACCATGTTGAAAAGTCATTGAGTCTGGGGGCAGTCTGACGTTGACTGTCTCCATCTTTACTGATCACAGGGCACACGGAGCCACGGCATGTCCACGCCAGCAGCCCACAGAGCCGCCTTGCCGACTCTGGGGTCCAGAGAGCAGCATTGCTGGCTCCCTGCCTATCTGCGCTGGCCTCCGGTCCAGGGTGGACACCAGCCTCGAATGTGGGGTTGGGGATGCGTTAGATGCTCCCCCTTCCCCTCCAGGTCACCTCCTCCAAGTCACTGAGTGTGTCTCACTCCAAAGACAGAGCCTTGAGCCGTGGCCTTGGCAGCCTTGGGGCTTCCACAGCTGGCTGGACAGCAGGGAGGAAAGTCTGAGGGATCCGCCTCCACTGTGGCCGAGTTGTGGCCTCCGTCATTGTTAGGAAGTTGTGTGTTTCTGCGGGCGCCAGGAGCTAGGAACCTGCTGCCTCTGGCAGTGAGGAGCTGCTGGGAAAGGACGTAAAGGTGCTTTCCTGGCACCAGGCTCCAATGGTGCTTGCGGGTCGTGGTTTTTTTCGACCAGAGGTCATTTATTTTTTGAGATGACGTCTCACTCTATCGCCCAGGCTGGAGTGCAGTGGCACAGTATCAGCTCACTGCAACCTCTGCCTCCCGAGTTCAAGTGATTCTCCTGCCCTAGCCTCCCGAGTAGCTGAGACTATAGGTGCACAGCACCACACCCGGCTAATTTTGTATTTTTTGTTGAGACAGGGTTTCGCCATGTTGGCCAGGATGGTGTCAAACTCCTGATCTCAAGTGATCCTTCTGCCTCAGCCTCTCAAAGTGCTGGGATTCCCGGTGCGAGCCACTGTGCCCGGCCTGGAGGTGATTTTTGAAGCCGGATGAGGGAGGATGGCTGCCCTGTGGCAGCTCCCTCCTCTGGGTGTTGCTGGGGGAATGCATGGAGCCGTCCCCTTCGGCCACCGCCGCCTCCACTGGGTGTTGCTGGGGGAATGCATGGGGCCGTCCCCTTCGGCCACCGCCGCCTCCGCTGGGTGTTGCTGGGGGAATGCATGGAGCCGTCCCCTTCGGCCACTGCCTCCTCCACTGTGGCTTAGCCGGATGTGCTGCTGGCCTGGAAGAAATTCGGATGCCAGAGATCCCCTCCCTCCCGAGGGGCTCAGTCATGAGCCGGCGGGGGCACTCGCCACGCAGGGCCCTTTTCTCTTTGTGAACCTGTGATCATGTTGAGATTGGAAATGCTGGCAGCACTCGGACGTTTTTCAGTTGCTAATTTTGAAGTTTTTTGTTAGTTTTACTACAGCCGAGGCACTGCTGGCAAACCGTCCCTGATGGAAAGGTCGGCTCCGTGTAGAAATGTCGTGTGCGTTGCCCGTGGACAGCTGCAGAGCGCCGGGTGTGAAGGCCGGGCCTGGCTGTGAGTGCAGCCCTCGGCTGGTCAGCTGCTGCTGGCGGCGGGGAGCCAGGACGCGCGCGCAGCCTTCCTGCAGGGGGCCGTGCACTCCTGCGCCACTTGCAGACGGCTGAGAGGCGTGGCGTTCCCTGGAGTTTTTCCAAAGGGACCTCTGGGGCAGCTCCTGGCTCACTGTGGGCACCTGCATCCCGTGGTTCCTGCACCTGCACAGAGCTCCCCTGGAGCCCCAGACTGGTCATTTCGCTTCCTGCTGAGACCATGACTGCTCAGAGGCAACTTGTCCTTTGACAATGGAGGTTCCTTTGTTTTGCTAACTTTTTCCTTCCCCTCCCCAGCACCCCTTTCTTAACTAATCCGCTGGACGGGCCCTCTTGATTGATAGTTGTGGCTTGTTTCCGCGTGGGGCCTCTGCCCAGGCTTCATGGTGTGATGGAGGGTATTTTTCACCTGCTTGGGCTTATTGAATTGGTCACTTGGGCTGGGCATGGTGGCTCAGGCCTGTAATCCCAGCACTTGGGAGGATGAGGTGGGTGGATCACTTGAGGTCAGGAGTTTGAGACCAGCCTGGCCAACATGGTGAAACCGTGTCTTTATTAAAAATACAAGCCGGGCGCGGTGGCTCAAGCCTGTAATCCCAGCACTTTGGGAGGCCGAGGCGGGTGGATCACGAGGTCAAGAGATCGAGACCATCCTGGTCAACACGGTGAAACCCCGTCTC